TCCACCGCCGCTGTTGGCTGTCACTGACTCTGCAGCGGCTGTGGAGAGGAACGCGCCGCTGTCAGTGATCTGAACAGCGGAGCGTTCCTCCGCACAGCCGCCAGTGGCAGCCAGCAGCACAAGTTGCCATAGCGAACCCAGGCAGCCCGCACGGCATCAGGGGATGTCCTGGCCGGGCCCCATAGCGGCCGCCTGGGTCGCTATGGCGATTGTTACGCCACTGGAGGTGAACCACCTGAAATTGCAGATCGGCAAAATTGCCTTTAAGAAAAATAAGCTTACACGCTTAATACACTTCAGGTCCAGGTGGGTTTGTAGCAGGAGACTGGTCACAGCGTTGTCACCCTTTTACAGGAAGTGGAAAAATAACAGGTCTACTGGCAGGATCAGCAGGTAATAAAACAATGTAACAAGGGGGGGTCATCAAATATACATTTTTTATTTAAGTTCTATGAAAGATGCTGAGCGATTTCTGGAGAGGCCTCATACGGATCAGGTAGGGGGTTTTGGACTAAACCCTTCACATGACGGTGGCAGCTGGTGCATTGTGGGTGTGGGTACCGGTCAGTGAAGAAAGTGCTTCCTCCCCACCCTACAAAGTTCTCCTGCTACAGCAAAACATAATACCATTTTTTTGACCAGAACATTCAAACTGGACACACACACTATGATCCAATTGTACAATCTCTTTCGGGCTGCCCACCTATGGGGTACAAGGGATGTCTAAGCAATCCATTCCATGTTTTATTCTGGTCAGGTAGGCCCCGGCGCTACATAGAAAGTAAAATGTTACAGAGGTTCTAGGATCGGGTTGTAACGTGTGTAGCAATATAAATGTAACAAACAATTCCGTAGTGCAGAAGGTTGTAAGCAGAGCTAATCGTGTGATGCAAAAGTGTCCACATGATGTACATTGCAAACGGTGACTGTAATCCGCTTATTTCCTCATCGGCGCAGCTTTCCGCCGCTTCACGTGCAAGATTTCCGATGCGTCGGGGTTTACGCCACTCTGCTGCGGAGACTGCAAGTCCCGTTCATCCTGCAGACAATGAGGGAAATGTTATATTAGGTACAAGTCTGATGATTGTGTTCCTCTACCTCAGGGCTCAAAATTTCAAGTCCTGAGCTACTAGCCCCGCCTTAAGAGTTACTCGTCACCAGTTGCCCCAGCTACCCCCTGCCCTGCCCCGGCCTGAACCCCGCCAATTCATCGGTGTGAAGCAAAGAACAGAGATCAGTAACAGCAGGAGTACAGAGGTCAGTAATGTAACGCACAGTACAGAGGTCAGTAGTATGATGCACAGAGGTCAGTAGTATGACGCACAGTACACAGATCAGCAGTATGACGCACAGTACAGAGGTCAGTATTGTAACACACAATACAGAGGTCAGTAATGTAATGCACAGTACAGAGGTCAGTAGTATAACGCACAGTACAGAGGTCAGTAATGTAATGCACAGTACAGAGGTCAGTAATGTAACACACAGTACAGAGGTCAATGATGTAACGCACAGTACAGAAGTCAGTAGTATGACGCACAGTACACAGATCAGTAATGTAACGCATAGTACACAGGTCAGCAGTATGACGCACAGTACAGAGGTCAGTGATGTAACTCACAGTACAGAGGTCAGTAATGTAATGCACAGTACAGAGGTCAGCAGTATGACGCACAGTACAGAGGTCAGTGATGTAACACACAGTACAGAGGTCAGTAATGTAACACACAGTACACCGGTCAGCAGTATGACGCAAGTACAGAGGTCAGTATTGTAACGCACAGTAGAGGTCAGCGGTATGACACACAGTACAGAGGTCAGTAATGTAATGCACAGTACAGAGGTCAACGGTGTAAGGAAGAAAGAACAGGGACTTACAGTGCACGTAGCTGATCTGATTTATCCTTCAGATCCCCGCGCTGCAAAAACTTCCAGCCGGCCAATAGCAGCTGCAGTCTTCCTCCCAGCCTATGGCAGCTGAGGTGGGCGGAGGAAGCTGCAGGTGGGCGGAGTGAAGGCAAGACAGCCGAACTGATTCTTCTCCTCCTCGGCCGCTGCAGCTACAGAGCAGCCAAAGAGGAGACCAATCAGCTCTGCTGCCTTCCCTTCACTCTGGCCAGATAAGGATGAAAGGAGCGATCGCCGCTGCAGAAGCGGCGGAAGTTCCATCCCCCCTGGTCCTGCGCCAATTGCGAGGGGTGCAAGTGGAAATTTTGAACCCTGCTCTAACTGATATAGCAGAAACACATTCTACACAGCAATGTCAAGTACAAGAGCCAACAGTCCCTTCCCCCACCCAGTCAGCCTTCAAGACCTCCATGGAGTTGGCCTCCTATCATGGCAAAGCCATAGACATCAATGAGCTGCCTGACCATCAAAGTCAACCGAGAGGTTAGATGGTCCATTCATGTCTATGGCTGATTCACGAGCTATATGAAGACGCTGGCCCCACGGAGGCCCCAAGGGTTGTCCAGCTGTGGTCAGGCTGATGGTCATGGTTGAAGAAAGCCAGTGGAATTCATATGGGGCACATTGGTTCTGGTGAGGCCATTCTCAACAAAAACAGGGTACCCCATATCTGAAGAACCCAACGTTTAGGATCCATGCGTAAAAAGTCCTATGAGGGTGCCGCACCAAAGATCTACGTCTCCAAAATATTTTAATATTAGTGTTTGCTCATAAGTAGGAAACATAAAACGGCCAATACGTTTTGAGGGTGCCAACACTCCCGCTTAATAAGGGCTTAACATTTTTGGTGAACTTTAAAACTGACTCAGTTTGGGTTTATTAATAAAAGCGTTGGGCAGAATAACACAGAGCCTGTCCTGGAGACACAACAGGAAATGAGAGGAAATCTCTCCAAAGTGAAGGGAATCTGCTCCTAGTTGTCACCGGAAACAAGATTTCCACTCTTTTCCTGTTTTGGTGACAACTAGACATGTAAGTTGTGGAAAAATTTGTTTCAGTTCGGACATTTCATTATTTTGGAATTCGGGAATCGGATGCGAAATTCAATTCTGTTCGGGTTTCGGACGAAATCCAAATGTCATTAGTTTTGGATGAATTTACCAATATTCGTTGCGAGTAAAACAGAAAACCCTATACAGATATTAATACTAAAGCTGAATCTCCCAGACCCGAATGGCATCCGGTAGGGATGCACCGATACTAGTATCGGTGCCGATACCGAGTATTTGGGTGAGTACTCGCCCAAATGCTCCGATACCTAGCACAAGTACTTCCTGTATCAGGAAGCCGGGCAGCGCATAATTACACGCTGCCTGGTTTCCTGATTGGCCAGGAAACAGCTCCATGCTCTCTCGTCACTTGTGAGAGCATGGAGCCGACTTCCCGGCCAATCAGGAAGCCGTGTAGCGTGCAATGACGCACTACCCGGCTGCCCTATTGGTCAGGAAGCTAGCAAATCCGGAAGCCGGGCGCCGTGTAATGACGCAGCGCCCGGCATTCTGATTGGCCGGGAAGCCGGCGTCATGCTCCCTCGTCATCTCATGAATCATAATATTAAGAAAGTGACCTTAAAGCATTAGTTTGTATTGCTTTAGAAAAAATGTGACCTGTCCCTTTAAGAAAAAGTATCGGTACTCGTACTCGTAATCGATATCTGCGAGTACTTGATCAAAAGTATCGGTACTCGTACTCGGTCTTAAAAAAGTGGTATCGGTGCATCCCTAGCATTCGGGATCCGAATTTCTGAATTGCATTCGGAAATTCGAATCTCAAATACCATTTGGGTCTGGGATCCTCAGCTGTAGTATTATACGTATATACTGAACACAAATCTTCTTTACAGCATGTGACTTTTCCGGCCAATCCGATGGCTCCCATTTTGCCGTAACGAAAATTTGTGTTCAGACCCATTAAACCGAAAAACACATCTGATTGGCCAGAAAAGTCACATGTCCCATTCAGTTTGGTTTTTGCATTGCAACATGTGTTTAGCCGGGCTATCTAAAAATCTGCATCTGGTACGTCACCTCTGAAGGGAAATGAGCATCTTCTTCTTGAGCATGTGCTACTTCTGCCGCACGGCGGGCAAGTTCCACCTTGTAATACCCGGGAGGGGTCCAGCCCACACCCTTCATCCAGTTCAGGTCAGACTTGTATTTTACCTGCAGAGAAAACCAGAATATACATCATTTATGAATAAGCAGCATCCCTCCCTTAGGCTCAATTCACACGAGGATAAGGATCTCTATTTCCAAAAATTGTGACCGTTCTTTTTAACTAATCCAATGAGATTCAAAAAGGACAGTCGGCCACATCTGGAGTACGCGGTCCAGTTTTGGTCACCGGTACTGAGAAGGGATGTCCTTGAACTGGAGAGAGTCCAGCGGAGGGCAACCAAACTAGTTAGGGGAATGGAGGACCAAAGCTATGAGACAAGGAGGAGGGGGAGGGGATGGAGGACCAGAGCTATGAGACAAGGCTTCTGAAGGTATGTTCACGCTGGAAGTGAGGAGATTAAGGGGGGATATGATTTTCATGTACAAGATGTTCAATGGTGACAGCAACATTGGCAACAAACTACCACAAATTACAAAGACTAGAGGCCACCACCTAAAGTTGGTGGAGAAAAAATTCCAGCGCAATGGGCGAAGGGCGTTCTTTACAGTAAGAGCGGTTAAGGTCTGGAACTCACTGCCACCTGCACTGATTTCAGCCAAGAGTGTAGAGTTGTTCAAAAAACATTTGGACGATTTCTTGACGGACCGTAATATCCAGGGATACCAGTATCCCTAAGAATGAGATGATGCGTGGACCTATATGGGTTGGACTTGATGGACTAATGTCTTTTTTCAACCCCAAATACTATGTAACTATGTAACAGTCACATGGCTGAAATTAAAGTTTCCTTATTCTTGGGTTAAAGTGGATTGAGCCTCATGTAATCAGAGAGTGCCATCTACAGCTCTGAGATGTCCTAAACAAAAAGCTGCAAATGTCCCAATTCTGGATTATTTTGCACCTCACAAAATTTTTGACAGGCCGCCTATACCCATATATGCCAAAACAGTCTCAGCTATAATTCCTTGTGCGCCTGTGAGGAGATTGGTGGAGCTTGAACTGTCAATGAGGTATGAGAACAGATTTAGGACCTGTTTAATGGTCTGTGTTGATGGGCTTTTGTGTGCTTCCAGCTGGTTTTGCATTCCCATGCAAGTCTAGCTTGAAGAAGATCAACTGGAGGTCGTAAGGAAGTCAACTTTAGGTAGCATTCACCTGTCAAAGAATTCTAAATGATCTCAGAAGATCTCAAACTGAAGGTCACTAACACAAATTAAGTCTATGTTGATGGCCTTTTGTGTGCTTCAATCTGTTTTTTCATACCCATACTAGTCTAAATGAAGAAGGTCAACTGGAGGTCATAAGGAAGTCAACTTCAGGTCACATGCACCTGTCAAAGAATTCCAAAATGATCTCAGAAGATCTCAAACTGATGCCACCAACACAAATCAAGTCTGTTTTGATGGGCTTTTGTGTGCTTCAAGCTGGTTTTGCATTCCCATACTAGTCTATGGGAATGCCCATACAAGTCTAAGTGAAGGAGGTCAACTGGAGGTCATAAGGAAGTCAACTTCAGGTTGCATGCACCTGTCAAAGAATGCTAATTAATCTCAGAAGATCTCAAACTGATGCCACCAACACAAATCAAGTCTGTTTTGATGGGCTTTTGTGTGCTTCAAGCTGGTTTTGCATTCCCATACTAGTCTAAGTGAAGAAGGTCAACTGGAGGTCATAAGGAAGTCAACTTCAGGTCACATGCACCTGTCAAAGAATTCCAAAATGATCTCAGAAGATCTCAAACTGAGGGCCACCAACACAAATCAAGTCTGTGTTGATGAACTGTTGTGTTCTTCAAGCTGCTTTTTCATTCCCATGCAAGTCTAGCTTGAAGAAGGTCATAAGGAGGTCAACTTCAGGTCAAATGTGCCTGTCAAAGGATTCTAAATGAGCCTCAAACTGATGCCATTGACACAAGTCCAAAGCCCTTACAAAGCCTTGAATGCTCTTCTCTAAATATCTACCACCTTGATTCAGAAACCAAAAAAGACACAGAGGACCATCTTGACATTTCCCTGTTATTAGACCCTATCACAATACGTGGCTGTGGGCAGTTCGCGGTACGTACGTCACTCTGCAGACTGTGCGCTTGCTTGGCGTGTTTCAGCGTGAGCTGCTGCGGGTCGCACGTGTACTGGTGGAGGTGCTGGCGGTAGTTGACCTCGCTGGCTTGCTGCTGGCTCTTTTTGGCCTGGATGAATCCCGGTTGGTCCAGGTGTGTGTGGACCTGTGACCTGGTCTCCTCTGAGTCCTTCTTGTACACGCGGTCGCTCTGAAGTTTGCTGACCTTCATCACGTGCTGCGTCTTGGGGTCGTCGCTGATGCTGCGGTAACCGATTTGATGTCCTCTATCCTTGACGAAAGCTTCTTTGTAACGGAACTGCAGAGAACACATGTGTAGAACACTAAATTGTGGAGAACGCTAGCATTATGTTTCAAACAATGTACAAAGTTGCTGGTCTAACAGGCTGCTGAATGTTTATATTTTAGCTTTGGATAGAAGGGGAAGAAGTCACGTTTTTGTCAAGTTGTGTTGTCTTTGATGGGTGTCCCACAGAACAGGAGTTGAGGAGACAAGGAACCAGACAGCAATAAATGTATATTTCTATCAGCATTGGGTTAGAATATCCATTGGGAGTCTATTGTGGTTCCCATTACAGAGATCACCTCTGATTTCCAGTCTCGGTGACACCAAGGCATGAAATTAGTGGAATGGTTGTCACCCACACAAGTCACAAAGTGACAAGTGTTTTTACCCATACTTCCTTCTACTCAAAACGATAAAACAGGACACAGCTGGGCTAAAAATCTACCTCCTTTTCAGTGGGATTCCCCACCCCCCACCCCCACCTCTACTGATCTCGCAATTTGGGCTCAAACCCAGTTAATTTCCAAATGTTCACTTACATCGCTGGCGATCTCTCTGGAGGCTTTGGCGGTTTGGAAGGGAATGGCGTCCAGTCTCAGGTCGTAACCAGCTGCCCGGGACTGCTCAGACAGGGTCTTGTAGGCTTTCTGTTGAGAAATGGGAAAAAATAGATATGGTGACTCATAAAGTCTAACCTCTAAAGCCTTGGTTCTCAACTGGTGGGTCGTGACCCAAAAGTGGGTTGCGAACTCATGTTTATTGGGTCGTCGCATGCCAGTGGCGGAACTACCAGTGTCGCAGAGGTCGCGACCGCGACTGGGCCCTGGAGTTCCGCCACTTGGAGGGGGGCCAGGACAGGAGGAAGGGGCCCCTGGTGACCGCTGATTACCAGGATATTTATTATCCCGGTAACCGCTAATGTCAGTCCCGGGACCTCTTCCTCCTGTGCTGGGCCCTACATGCTTCACGCTGCTCCCCTCACCTTGTTCCGGGCGCCGTGTGAAGCATGTCATCCAGCTGGGCAGCAGCCAATGAGTGGGAGCGGTGTAATCCCCGCCCCCTCATCACACAGAACTGCTGCCCAGTGCCGAATAGAGCTGCTGCGGACACGAAGGGGGAGACAGGGAGCTGGAAGTATGAAGGAAGGTGACATGGGGTCCGGGAGCGGAAAGCTGGGGACATGAAGGGGGAGATAATGGGGAGCTGGGGACATGAAGGGGGAGATAATGGGGAGCTGGGGACATGAAAGAGGAGAGT